AGTCGGAATTATCTTAAAAGTTGAGATATGAAGAAATACTGAATCGCTAACGGTCTCTCATTTGAAGCAAAAAATTAACTTGATCATAATAAATTTAAATTATAAAAATTAAGCCACTTTGCACCTTTTATTATGAACGTAAACACCGTTCAGTTGGTCCCCGTTTCTCCACCAGGAAACAACAGGAGCCGGATTGCTAGATCCGGTTTCACACGTGAGTTGTGCCGATTCACCCACTCGAAATTCTGACGCCTTGCTTTTAATAACAACCGTTTCCGGACCAACTAGATACACAGAATACTAAAATAGCCAAGTTCCTGACTTTATAACAGACTTACAAAACACGGTGGCATTGAGTTTGGCCACCAGCGGCTTGACGGTTGCAGAATTCTCGGCGTTGCAAGAAAACTCGGCCATGTTGTCTTCAGGCCCGACAGCGAAGGTCAATTCCGCCTGGGCAACATTATCACTGACCGTGTTGGTCACTCCTCTGGTCAGCTACAATTGGAAAGGTTTTTCAAACAGAAGAAAAGATCTTTAACATTGGCCACTTACACTTTTTGCGTTGGTATATAATGGTCATTTAGTTTAAAATGCGAATTAAATTCACAACCTCAAAATTAAAACGACATAAATCGGCAGGGCCATTTGAAAAGCATCTACCTCTTTAAAAACGTTGCGCTTAATGAGAAAATACAACAGTAACATCTCTGAATTTAGACTGAGAGAGGGCTGACTGGGCAAAGTGATGCAATAACTCGAAATCGTTGTCCGTGCATATCAGCGGTATGAATATTTCCGTTGTCCATACCCTTCCGCGAAATAAAGCTTTTCACAAGAGCAGTATGAAACTATTAATTACTGACCTGTCGCCCATTTTTGTACCAGTTTATGGTCGCCAGAGGATTGCCACCAATAGCCACACACGACAAACGATGTGTCGTGCCAGCGACCATAGGGGTATGTTCGTAACCGTAAATTGTTACTTGTTCAGGTCGAACTAAAACAACTGGACGTCAATAAACAGTCATAAAGGGCAACCAAAATGGTATTAAAAACCTTGAAAATTCTTGCATGTGGATAAACGAATGATGGAATAACTCCTTGTCAAAGAACACGAAGTTTCGTGCTCCAGTAGAATGAAGATATGATACGTTGGGGAACTGATGGCACATTATGCCCAACTGCAATATCTGTTTTGTTTAACACAAGTAATTTCCAGTTAACGTCCTTAGTCTAATGCTGTGCACCAAGTCATTTTACATGGATTGCTATAGACAACTGTTAGAGCTCAGACAACGCATTCAACCGTCATTACCTTGTTCATTCGATGGCTTTTCCTCCCAGGTGACAAGAGCTACCAGATGAACTTGGTCTTCTTCTCGCA